AAAATAAACAAAGCACTATTTTAGTGAATGATTAGTGTCAAGCAGCAGGAAAAAATTTAAAAATTATTATTTTGATAAAGAGAATATCTGAAACAACAGAGAGATCTGACATAAAACATATATCTTGTCTGAAAAACTAAGAAGCTTATTACATACGTGACAGGCAGGATAATTTTTCTTATAGTAGAATAATGTAAAGGTCATATACAGGAATAACATATTAAGAAAGAAAAAAATGTCTTGTTAAATGGGTAATGTACTTATGGAAGATAAGTAGATGTGGGAAAATTTACTGCAGGAGTGAGAGAAAAATTGTAAAACATCTTAAAAGACCAAGAAGTGAAGTGACAGATAATTTTTCAAACAAATGTGGGTGAGAAATTAGTATTCACCTTCCCAAGGGACAGGACTATGAATAAAGACAGAAATGAATATGTACATATATTTTGCTATAATTTTAAGGAAAAATTGCTAATGACAGTCAGTATCTAATGAATAGCTTATAGGAGGCAATAAATTCTCCATCCTTAGCATATCCTAGCAGAGGTAAGAGATTACTTCCTACTTTTCTGTGAGATTCTGATGTACCAAAAAGAGTTGGAACAAGATAATATCTAAACTAGAAACTTCATTTCTGAAATGTATCAAGTACATAAGGAAAAATGTACCCAATATATATGCTATAATTCAGCTATTTTAGTAGGATAACTGGAAGGGTTATTACAATGAGTCTAAAAGAGAATAATACTAAAGACTGTGATTTCATTGCTTTCACTGAAGGGCAGATGTTGAGAGACTTTCTAACATGTGGTGATCCAGCCACAAAAGTCTAAAGAAATGAAAAGAGATTCATTTCAGATCAGTTTACTTTACAAAACTATGAATGAATAATATAGGGGGGATTTTTCCTAAGAAGTGGTACAAATTACTTTAGAAAAAAGAATAGCTATTTAGCGAAAACTAGAGAGTGTGGTTCAGGTGGTAAATCACAGAACCTAAATTATTCGTATTTCTTTTGGAGGAGGAAATTAGAAGATGAGGAAGATGAAAAGACATGAATGTAGGGTAATTAAGGGAAGAGGGGGTGGAAAGAAATGACAGAGGGTAGCCTTAATAAATATTTTTGGGGTGAAACAAGATAATTGGTCTTTTGGGTAGCTCCCATGATTATTTTTTTAATTCTCTCCCTCGTGGTAATTTTTCTTTCAGAATATTATAAAATGAATCATTTTCTTTCATTTCCAAATTCAGCTTGACAGTTGCCTTGGAAGTAATAATTAGGTTTTCCTTACATAAGAGGGGAGAGGCCTATTATTGTTGAAGATTCATTTTTTTAAAGCTATTCTTTATTTAACACTCTAACAGTTAAGGATTAAGTCACAGCTATTTTTGAAGTCATTGTATCTACAATGAATATTGAAAAAATTATAATAAAATAATAACATGCTGCCTGGAAAATCCTTTGACAGAATTATTTAAACTTCAAGTTTTTTAAAGAATTTGAAAATAAATCTAGAAATTGAAACGGAACCCAAAGAAATCAGCACACAAATCTAGAATGATATTTTTATCATTAGCAGTGGTTGAAGAAATACCAGAAGAGTTGTCTACAACCAAACTCTTATAGAAGAATGATGAGTCCTAGGTCACATCGTAACCATCTATGACAGTCATTACTTTAGAATTTAACTGTCCTCTTATTTCAATTTAGCTCCATGTGGGAGATGGGTATCTCAGTTTATTTCATTCCCAAGTCAACAACTAATAAAATTTATATTCTTGAAATAAATTTGTTAAGGCTACACCCCCAAAAGACACAATGTCATAAGAACCAGCTTTTACATGAAAGGCAAAAAACAAACAAACAAATAACAACAACAATAAAAAAAACCTACAAAGCAAACAAACATGAAAATTCAGAAAGTCTTAAGAATAAAAATGGTAGTTCTATTATTAAGCATAGTGCCTGTATTATATATTTAAAATGTACTTAGATTAGATCTTATGTTAAGTGTTCTTAGCATATATTTACACAAATAATAATTGTTATATTAATAAAAATAGTAATAATAATAGTAATAATAGAAATAATTACAAAGGTAGGAGAAAACTTTGGGAGATAATAGATATATGCACTGAGTTGCCAAATTATTATGATCTCTGAATCTATACATATATATATATATATATATATATATATATATTATATATATATATTTATATATTTATATATTTATATTAGAGGCCCAGTGCATGAATTTGTGCATGGGTGGGGTCTGGCCAGCCTGGCCAGCAGAAGGGGACAGGGGTGGTTGGCTCGCCTGCCTGCTGGTCGAACTCCTGGTCAAGGGGACAATTTGCATATTAGCCTTTTATTATATAGGATATATACTGAGTGGACAGATTATTATGTGTTCAGAGGTCATAATAATCTGGCCACTCGGTGTATTATAGCCTTAATGATGTTGGTGTTTTCATGAGTGTATACCTATCCCTAAACTCATGGAGTTGTGTTCATAAAATGTGTACAGTACATTTTTTTTACATGCCAACCATACCTCAATAAAGTGGTTTTAAAAAATAAAATAAAATGATAGTAACTTCAGGTAGTAAAAATGTCAAACACTCTTAGTTGCAACTTTGACTAAAGTCATTATTGCTACATTTTTTATTTTATTTTTGCCATATGTTTTCTTCTGCCAGAGTTGGTTTCTGAATACTGGTTATTGCTGGGAAATCAAAGGTGCACCATATATTACTTGTTAAACAAAGGAATTAATGAAATGACTGAATGATAACTAAAGGAAGGAAAGAACTGACTGATAAATTCTAGGAAACAAATGCAAAGACCATGCTTAGTTGATTTTAAGCATGGATGCCAGCCAGATTGCCTGGCTTTGAAACCCAGTTCTGCCCATTGTTAACTATATGACCAGTTAGCAAGTAAGTCTCTCTTACTTGTACCTCAGTTTCCTTTTGCTTATATAAAATAAGCCATTAGAAAAGCACTTTTAAAAGTACATGGAAAATAGTTAAAGCCAAATAAATATGAAAAATACTATAGACCTGGCTGGTGTGGCTTAGTTGGTTGGAGTGAAGCATCCATCTTATATGAAAACTGCTGTTTGAAATTTTAACCCTGCTAATTGGTTTCTGTAAATTCTTGCCTGCTAAGACTACTCCCACTTTACTAAGCTATTGAACTTCCCCAGAAAAGGTCATCAGTGCTGGTGCCAGGCCAGCACACACTGGCTCTTTAAGAATTTGCAAAAGGGGGCTGGAAACACTCCATACTTGAGAGACAAAGAGAGTAGGATCATATAAATAGGGAGAATTCCTGCATGTTGGGGCCCAGAATTTGAGATACATTTTCCTCTGGACCCGACCATAATAAATGTAACTCCATCTCTCTAAGTATTGCTTTGTTCTTCTTCAGTTTTCTGTAACATGAGCATCATCCTGTACACCAAAGATTGTGGGTTTGATTTTTGGTCATTGCATATACACAAGTTTCATATTCAATCCTGGTTGGGGCATGTATGGGAAGCAATAATTCTCCCTCTCTCCCTCTCGCTATTTCTCCCCCTTCTTCTCTATAAAAATCAATAATAAAGTTTAAAATAGGATATTATAAAGGTCTTGTCTAAATAATTCAATACAAAAGTCACTGACAACTATGAGATTAGAGTGAGACTAAAGACATGTTGTCTAGATCAATGAAGTGGGCACAATGAACTTTGAAGTTCCACCTACAAACTTGCACATGTCCTAGAATTTACTATTCTGAGACTGTATATATTGGTCCTTCCCAAACACTTCTCACAAACGTGTTGGAGATAATGGCTCCTTACAGACATACATTAGAGACTCTATTGTCTAAGGGCAGACATAAGACTAGATATACTTACTAGTATCTTCTATTAATTTTCAGTATTTGATTATTATCTTATAGATTTGATATAAAAGGGTCGATGGACATGAAGTAGTTTTATTAAGTGAAATCTTAACTGTTTCACTGCTGATCATTGTCTGGTGTTACCATAGTTTAGCTTATAACCCCAGGGCTTAGAAGGGGGGCCATGTGTTGGTATCAATCATTTGCAGGGCTCCTGAAGCAGGAGGACTGCTGGCAGATATAATAACAGTTGCAATGCTGTCTGAGGGGAGAGGAGGAAGAGATCCATTTCCACATGAGAATTCTTGGAAAGTAGAGACTGAGCCTACACTGATTGAACAATGAACCACAGAGAGATATACAAATGTATTTATCAGCACACCAGGCAGTTCCCTTTGTTATACAAAGCCTGCCTCTCTAGTAGTTCTGCTTTAGCATCTCCCTTCTAAGAAGAGATGGATTGCACTGGAAAAACAACCTAAAATCTCTGTGCCTTACCTATTTATGAAAATTGGTGATAATTTAGATTTCTGTTTTTTAAAATGTCAACAAGTCAGATACAATTATATGTGTACTTTTGAGATCTCTTACCACAAAATATGCTCTCCCTTCTTGTCTATTTCTGTCCATAATCACTGCTCTGGAGTGGATTGTGTCCCTTCCCTGCAAATTCATATATTGTAGTTCTGACTGCTAACATCACTGTATTTGGGATAGGGTATTTAGGAGGCAACAAAGGTTATTAATTAAATGAGTTAAAGGTGGAGCTGTATTCTGGTGGGGCTGGTGGCCTAGGAAGAAGAGAAAGACACAGAGGGATCTTCTCTCAGCACAAGCATCGAGAAAGGCTGGGTGAGGACATACAGAGAAGATAAATGTCTGCAAGCCAGGAAGAAAGATTCCACCAGACACTAAAGACACTGAATGAGCCAGAATCTTGATCTTGAACTCCCCAGCTTTAAGAAAGAACTATGAGAACACATTTCTGTTGTTTAAGCTACCTAGTCTTTGGTATTTTGTTATGAGAGCCTCAACCAACAAAGATTCCTACACTGGGAAAGGAGCTTTATAAATATGCACATAGTTTTGCTGGAGTCACACTCACCATGAGTAGTCTGTCTCCTACTTGCAACCTCCCATCCTTTTGTGCGGCTCCTCCATCTATGATTTTAGTTACATAAATGCTGTTGTCTCCAGGAATGTGCTGGTTCCCCACACCTCCTGCAATACTGAAGCCTAAACCTAAGGGGGAAGAAACAGAGAAAGGAAAGCTTTTTTTTTTTTTTTTTTTTTTTTTTTTTTTTTTTTTTTTTTTTTTTTTTTTTTTTAAGAAAATGCAATTAGCACATTTCAACAGCCTAAAAACTTTAATCCTTAATTTATTATAACAGTGATAAATAACAGCCAGGGTTCTACTTCAGTTGATTTGTTCTTCTTTAAATATTTGAAGACTTGTTGATTAATGCCAATGAGTGGAGCCAAAGCTCTTGAAGTCAATCCCTTGTGGCCCTTAGTTTTATTCTACTTTATGACTGCACACTTATTTGTTCTTCTCTAGCTAATCAGCTCCTACTGGGTGATCGGACAAAATAGGGATCAGGCAAAAGTGTGAAAGGATCCTACATGAGCCAGGCAAAACACAAGTATAGTTCTGCTCACGTTGAGTCTGTGGGCTCCTCTTCATTGTTGCTGTTACTCTGGCATAGAGAATTATTTGGGTAGACCTAGACACTCCTGAAATTTCAGGATTAAAAGTACAACAGTTAGAAAATTTCCCAAATTAGAAACAAAAGCCACAGGAAGAGACATTGAGATTTAAGTAGTAATTTTAGAGAGAAGATAAGGAAAATAAACTAGATGCTTGCATTTCCCATTTTCTTCTCTGGCCACCTTGTCATATCTTCACATTTCATGGTACTAACTGTTATTAAGTAATAGTGAGGCTAGTCACACACACACACACACACACACACACACACACACACACAAATGATCTCCATATACATTCTTAAGAATAAAGAAACAGCTGAAACCGGTTTGGCTCAGTGGATAGAGCATCAGCCTGCAGACTAAAAGGAACCGGGTTTGATTCCGGTCAAGGGCTTGCACATCCTAATAGGGGGTGTGCAAGAGGCAGCTGATCAATGATTCTCTCTCATCGATGTTTCTAACTCTCTATTCCTCTCTGTAAAAAAATCAATAAAATATATTAAAAAAAAAGAATAAAGAAACAGACAATATTCTCTATCACTCTTATACCACAGGATATCAAAATCACTTTAAATATGAAAGTTTCTACACTGAAAGATAATTTTTACTGTGCTATGGCTTACACATTTTTTTATTTATATGTACCAATGGAATGATAATAATAGTTATTAAAATCATTATGAAGTCATTTAAAAATAATGACATAGAATCTTTAAAAGTATAAAAATATCCTTTTCAGGATATGATTGAATATACATTCAGAATAATAATTATAGCATACATTAAAATTATAATAATTAACATGCATATTGCTTAGAAAGAGATATATATCAAGTGATTTTTTTTTTTTAGTAAAAACAGAAAATTTCTGTAACTTACTTGGTGTAAGACTTTTTTATTTTTAACCACACATACCTAGTAACCTAATTAAAAAAAAACTAGGACACCTGTTTTATCATAATAAAGACCAACAACACACCTACCTGGCACTTCATAAAAAACAATGAAAAACATTTTTAAAAATACTCCATTTCACTATGCTTTAATTGAATATTAAGTAGAACTATGTTCTCTTAAGATGATTAGTTAATGAAGAAACAGTGGCATAGCAAATTATAAAGAAATACCTCTGAAATTATATTTGCAATAGAATAATTTTTGTTAAATTAAATATAATAATTGTTAATATAAATGGAAAATGGATTTAAGTTGATAGAGCAATTAAAATTAGTGTTCACTAATTTCCTACAAAATGGGTAATTACTCTTTACTGATGCTCTGGCTTCCACAGATCTATACATGTATCTGTTTGCCTCAGATTAAAAAAAATTGTTTAATAAGAAAATGATGATCCAGAATAAATAAAATACACCTAATTGGCTTTTCCTTTGAAATTCAAAATACATATCAGTTCATGTTTTCTAACCCTATTACTTAGCATTTATATATGATTATAGGGTGCTTAAAAATATAGTTACAAAAGTTTCATAGCCACATGCTAGACTCAATCTACTGCACTTGGAGTACTATAAAAGTCATTCCATACTGTAGGAAGAAAAGGTTAAAACAAATCCAGGGACTCTGATTCACTATGTCAACAGTAAATGCCACAGTCAATCTAGGTTACAGAAGAGCTCAAGAAACAAATCACCACTTTAAACAAGTTTAAATCCAACAAAGGGCATAATTATGTAGTTGACATTTAAAGTTTGTACCAGCACAGTGAAATCACTGTGGATGCTCTCGACAAAATTATATCACTAAAAAGTTAATAACTTTTTTATCTGAGATTAGGTTTAAAAACATTTTAACTAGTGACTTTGCTCAAGGTGAAGCAAAATATTTTTAGTAGGAGTCAGAGAATGTTTCTGAAGCTACTAAAAATCTTCTCTGATTTTTCTTACTTTGATGAAAAAAATGAATACATTAAAAAGAATTAATATTTAATCAGCACTCAACCATATTCCAGATACTTAATTAAACGTAAGTAAATGTGTAGCTTTTGTCTACATCCAGAATACAAGTTTATTTAGAGATGGGAATATCCATCTGTGTCATGAGATTCAATCTACCTCCATTCATTCATTCATTCATTCATTCATTCACTAACCTCACTCATATATCTATTTATTCAACAAACACCCCTGAGTACATGTTATGCATTGTTGCTTTTGACTGTGGTCAACATAAATGAATGGATTAACTAGAAACACTATAGAAATAATGATTCATGAGTGATGGGCTGAATCTGGCTGGAATGTTCTAAACTCAGAGGATGCCAGTGCTTTTTGGAGGACTAGTCTATGAAGACAAATGTGGGCTAGGACTGCTGAGCAAAAAGACTATCCAAATAATTAGTTTGGAGGCACTGGGAGTTCCTTGTACATATTCTAGTGAAGCAGAGGCATGGTTTCTACATTAAAGGATCATTCTATCCCCTTATTAGCTAATATTTCCCTCCTTCATTCCTCTCTAAACACTCACAGTCTTGATAATTCTAGAACGCACTGGACACACTTATACCTTAGGGCATTTATCTGTTCCTTTTGCCTCAAATGCACTTTCTTCAGAGCTTTGTACAAATTTCAATTTCTCTATGAGCCTGAACCTGACCTACTTATTTAATACTATCCCTCAACCATGTACTCCACTTCCTTCTTCTGCTCTACTTTTCATTTTACTTTACCATTTATTATATCTTATAATATACTACGCAAGTCATATATGTATTTTTATGTTATTTATTTTTTGTCTGTCTCCTTGATGAAAACATAAACTTCATGATGACAGGATTTTGTCTGATTTATGCTATGCAATAGAACAAGGCCAGTTATATAGAACAAGTACCCCTTATTTGTGGTTTTGCTATTCATGGTTTCAGTCATCCATGGTCAACCACCATCTGAAATCTTAAAAATTTTAGAAATAAACAATTCATAAGTTTTATATTGTGTACTATTTTGAATAGCATGATGAAATATCTCACTGTCCCACTCCATCCCACCTGGGACATGAATCATCTCTTTTCTTGTGTATCCATGCTGTGTGTACTGTACAAAGAGATATTTTGAGAGAGATCACATTCACATAAATTTTATTATAGTACTAGAGGTCCATTGCATGAAGAGATTCGTGCAATAGGCCTTTTTTCCCTTGGTTTCCAGCATAGGTTTTCCTCTGGCACCCAAGACCCAGGCCTTTGCTCCAGCCAGAGTCTGCCATCTTTGTCTTAGTCTGCAGTTTGTCTTCACTCTGACACTCTGCTCCTGTAGATCCTTTCACCCCCCGACCCTCCCTCTCATAGCTGGTGTCCTGCCCCACCTGGCCATTCCACACCCGGAGCAGCTGGGTGGCTGCCATCTTTGGCCTTCTAATTTGCATACTCACTCTGATTGGCTGTGGGGATAGCAGAGGTATGGTCAATTATTAGGTAAGATACTAGAGACCCAATGCACAAAATTTGTGCAAGGGACTTGGCCCTCACAGCACTGACTGCCTTATGGCCCTAGCTGCCTTGAGGCCCTGTCCTCTGTCCACTGGTTGTTCCAGAAGGTCATTCCAGAAGGTTGTTCTGCTGTCCAGTCAAATTAGCATATTAGTTCTTTATTATATAGGATTGTTTTAATTGTTCTAGTTTATTATCAGTTATTGCTCTAAGCCTCTTAATGTGCCTAATTTATAAATTAATTTTTGCCATAGGCATGTATATATTATATATGAAGGAACACAGTATATACAGGTTTCAGTACTAGCCATTGCAGGCATCCTCTGGAGGTCTTGGAATGTATCCTGCATGAATAAAGGGGACAACTGTAGTTACTTTATAAGTATATTTTACATACAAAATGAATGGAAAAATAAATATAAGAAGACAGAAAAAGCCACATGTCTCTTAGAAAGATTCTCCTTAAAGATGAAGTTGGTGGCTTAGTGAGTGAGGGACAGCTGAAAAGAAGAGGGCTGTAGTGCAGTTGATGACTCTTAAGTAGTTACCCTGCTTCAAGTGAACTCTGACTGGGGAACAGCATAGCCAGCTTTGCATCCTGATTCTCTCACCTACTAACTGTGTAAACTACTGATCTGTAATGAGGGAATAAGTGTATCTGTGTTGTATAGTAACTGGCATATAATAGATGCTTGATAAATTAAGAAAAATTATCTTTCCTCCATAAATTGTTTTGAAAAACAGACACCTAGACACACTGGCATTATTTAACTGGTTATGATGAGTTCTCTTATAGTACCAGTGTTATGTAAGCAAGACTTAGAAGAGCAGGAGAAGAATCAACAGGTGTTTAGTGTCAAAGATGTGTCCTGCAGGTTAAGTTAGAATTGATAAAAGAGAATGCAACTTTCAAACCAAGACATCCTCTGGATTCCAGACTGCCTAAATGACTAGTCAGCTGCTCTGACTTTGTCACAAGATGTTCATAAAATTCCAGCTCCATTGGGCTGACTATTGAGATGGAGATGCCTAGCAATCCCCCACAATATGAATTTATGATAAAATAAGCTAGATTGATCTCTACTGG